ATGCTCCAGTTACGTCTTTCAAGCAGTAATTTTCGGAACGAACTCAGACTAAAACTAGCACACAAGTTCTTCTTGCAGCAACAAAGGCCCTGGATTCTGCTCACCCGATATTTGAGAATGATTTTGACACAAGTTTCGTCATTGAGTTTGTGGAGGATGCAGCTCTGTCCCACGAAGTAAAGATCAGGCAGACAGGTTTCGAGTGTCTCTTGTCATTAGGATCAACATACTAGGAGGTGCTGAAGCCGTACCTCCATCATATCTTTGTGCTTACATTGAATGATGCCCTCCTATCTATTGAGTTCTGGAGCTCAATCTGTGCTACAGAGATTGAGCTTCAAGAGGTTGTGAATCTTGAATCCGGTGACCATTGATAGGGCTCTTCCTTGTATGGCTCGCATATTGCTGGAGAGTCTGCTGAAGCAGCAAGATGATCAAGACCAAGGCGATGATGCATGGAACATATCCAGGGCTGCTGCGACTTGTCTTGGCCTTGTCGCCAAAAAGGTAGGAGTTGCTATAGTCCCTTTTGTGACATCTTTTGTTGAGGCTAAGATAAGTGACCCGCATTGGAGGAGCCGAGAAGCAGCCACCTATGCTTTTGGATGTGCCAACATTCCTCAAGCTTGCTGTCTTGGAATTTCTCCTCAATGCAACAGAGGATGACAACACACAAACTGCTTGGACACAACTGAGTCGTATCTTTGAGTTTTTGCATAGTCCAGCCAGTGGCTCCGCAGGGAACCTTCCTAGATCTGTGGCTGTGTTACTGAGAGCCATTAATGATCATGTGGCGGAGAAGATCTGCGGTGTTATATACAGCCTTGCACAGGGCCATGAAGATGTTGGAGCTAGTTCCTCTCCTCTCACTCCATATCCTAAAGAGATAATCCAACTGCTGCTTGCAGCGGCTGAGCATAAAGATGAACAAGTGCCGAAGCTAAGAGCTGCTGCTGCATACGATATATTGAATGTGGTTGTCCGATGTTCAAACGTCGCTGAATCGTCTAACATCATAGCGCATCTCCTTTCTGAAATAATTCAAGAAATAGACCCGACTATGCAAATTCCAATTATATCAATGGATGGTCGTGAGAAACAAGCCAAGCTCCAGGCTTCTCTATGCGTTCTTCTTCATGTCCTAATCAAGAAACTGAGTGGCACAGACCAACAATGATTTTAGTTAAAGCGAGGTTTTAAACAGATTTTATTTATTTCAAGGTTTGTAATCTATGCTTATTTGGTCTCAATTTTTATTAGAGGACTATTAAACTTTTATTTGATTAGTTACATAAGAACTGACTGATTTATTCAAATTGAGTCCAATGATATATTGAATTTCAAGAACCGGTTTTTAGTTTCATTTAAGTTTGGTTTTGATTCAGTCTTAGATCGATTTCATGTCGCTGCTTGAACATGCCAAATAATTTGCCCAGTCTAAGCTGTTGGAGCTTGTTTTTGATGAAATTTCTCTGTTTTTCTGTCTCGGGGATTCGAAGCCGGGCTTGGTCCAGTTGAGACTATGTTTACACTATTCCAAAACTACCTCTAGAGGCAGAGTAAATTAACCTGGTCATACCCCTTGGTGTTTTCTGGATTATTCAAGCAAGGTATAGAACAAACGATGTCGTACGGACACTCTCAATAGAAAATGCAATGGCTTAAGCTGCAAGGATCTTTTTCACAACAGATCCAGCAATTTCACCTACTTATATAACCAAGACTATCAAGTGCGAGAAGGAAATCTAAAAAAAAACAAAGAGAGAAGGAATCTAAATTAAAGACCAAAATTAGCTTTGCTCCATTAGTTTATAAGCTGACAAAATGTGTATATATGTTACCATTTTTACTACTTGAGCTAAATTTCTCTGATCAACCATTTTCTCCATGGATCAAACGCATCTGATGAGAGGACCTTCGAAGGTTAAGTATGAATCAAGGAACATCATCACATTGGTTCTGCTGCAACACTTTCTTCTCTGTGAATGGTAAAAGCTACGCCAAACAGGAAAACCAAAAAAAAAAAAGTTAAAATCTTTAGCATTTATAAAAGAAACCACAAAATTTTCAATACAATAATCATACAAACGCATGGACAATGACCAGAGACTGTCACGGCAAGGAGAAACCAACAAAAAAAATTACTAACCTGACGAGCGACCTGTGCAACACGTCGACTATCACGAGATGATTCAGTGTTGAATGAATCCAAGTAACCGTCACCTTTCTCACCAGTCTTTTGTCTTCTGTTTCCGCTCTCATCATCCTGTGAAGAGGAGCCTCCTCCTTCAGGGCTACTGCTACTTCCATCCTTCTTACGCTTCCTCTTGAATGTGAATTTGATACACCGTTTATCAGAAGGCGACACAGACGTAGTGGAAAGCTCAATATCATTCTCTTTCTCTTCTTCCTTCCTTGCTTCTGTAACTGATTCCACCTCATTACAGTCTCCATTATTGATCACTTCTCTGCGTCTAGTTAGTATGGAAGGAAGTGTATGGTGACAGGGATCTTTATTCTCTTTATAAAAACACCGGTTAATACTCATATTTCTGTCACTCAAATGCGGTTTGATCCCATTAACCACCACTGATCTCTCGTGGTCACTAGAGTCCTCACGCACTAATGAGACTGCCTCATTGGGGTTTTTCTCCTCGTTGTTAAAATTCGTTTGACCACAACCGTTTGCCAGTTTCTCAAGGTGATACCGAGTCTCTCGCAGCTCCATCCTTAGCTCTCCTACTATATCTTCAGCTTCTCCAAGTTGAGCTTCAAGTTCCTCAATCTTTTGCTGCTTCTTCAAAGATATCATTTCTGCCTCCTTGACCTATTACCACATATTTTATCTTAAGATATAGGGTTGAAGAAGAAAATGAAACATACAGCACAAGTAACTACAAAGTCCATCCTCAAGAAAATGTGCTACAATCTCAAGTGAAACAGCTTTGATCAAACCGTGAGTTACTACAATAATTGGAATTGGTATCAACGACAACATAAAAAAATTGTCTAAAACAAAGAACAGTTTCACTACCATGGGGTTCCTCTAAACAACAGAAACTCCTCAATTTTAAGGTAGATTCCGAACTTACTGCTATAAAACAATTTGACACAGGCTTTTGAACATTGTGTTTCTCACTACTAGATCAGAACTACTAGAGATCTTAGGAAATGTGAATTATATGTAAATCAGTAAATAAATATCCTTGCGAAGCTAAATAATCAATGGGTAAAATTACAAAATCAATTGAGCTAAGGTGCATAAGAATTAAGTAAATATAAGTCTCAAGGTGAGAAACCTGACTTAAGTAAAGCTTTATAGTTTGTCACACAAAACTCAGAAAAGTCAAAAACTTGATCCTCAAATCCATCTCATAATAACAAGCAATAATCGAAAACCAATATCAAAGCATCAACTCCTAAAACCAACTTAGCTAATGTAAAAGGTTTATCGAGTTAAAGAATCCAAATGTAATCTACCTTGGAATCATACATCTGTTTAAGCCTAAGACACGTACGAAGAGCCTCGTCTCTAACAGCAACAAGCTCTTGCTGATAACCACGCGCTTTCTTCTCGGAAATCATCACACGCGCCGCCGCCTCCTTCGCCGTATTCAGTATCGTATCGGCGTAAGCCTTCTTCAAGGCTATTAATTTCTGCTTCCCCAAATTAAAAACCCAGAAAAGATCAGACAGAACCCACATCCGAAACACTAATTCAGATCAATATACGAAACAATAAACGAAATCAGAGACACTAATCGGTCATAAACAAAAATGAAACAGAGAAGAAACTGATTTTTCTAATTGGGAATGTGAAGTCGAATACGGCGGAGATTTAGGGATTTAAAAATGGAGAATTTTACCTCTGGGTCGGTCATTAGGGCAGAGAATGCGGTTACAGAGAGGCGGATTTTGTTTTTTTCCCCCCGACCGAAGTCGCGAAGAAGAAAAGAAGGAAGTGGAAAGAAAAAAATAGGTGG